ACCTTTGGAAGATGTAGGGCCATGGCTGGTGGCCTGCTCCCCAAGTAACACAAAACCCAGCTCATTTTCAGATTTCCCAAGGTTTGTTGTGGTTTTAAAAGCATTTTCTTAATGAAATAAAGACCACACTCCATACTTGCAGTGGTATAGGTACTGAATGCAGCTACCTGGTACCATGGGTCTTCTCAAGCTTTAGTGTCAGATTAAAACATCAACAATTATTCTAACTCATTCCAGTCTGCTTCTGGGCAAGCACTCAGGGTAGTCCCTAGGGATCTGACCACTCTCTTGTTAATTGAAAGACATATCTCAGCCTACTTCTGAAAATCCAGTGTTAGAACAGAATGTTATAAAGCAATTATGAATAATTAAAGAAATTGGCACCTTCTAAATCTCTGAAAACTAAAATTCTGGCAAAGGGCACTGGAAGAGTTTTTCATGGAATCATCTGAAATGCATGTAGAATTACTAGTAAATAAACACATTACTCATTTCTAAAATGTATATCATAGAATCATAGAATCATAGAATCTTAGGGGCTGGAAGGGACCTCGAGAGATCATCCAGTCCAACCCCCCTGCCAGAGCAGGGTCACCTAGAGTACATCACACAGGAACTCATCCAGGTGGGTTTTGAATGTCTCCAGTGAGGGAGACTCCACAACCTCCCTGGGCAGTCTGTTCCAGTGCTCTGTCACTCTTACAGTAAAAAAATTTTTTCGGATATTCACCTTGAACCTCCTATGCTCCAATTTACACCCATTACCCCTTGTCCTATCACTGGTCATCACCGAGAAAAGCCTAACTCCGTCCCCCTGACACTCACCCCTTACATATTTGTAAACATTGATGAGGTCACCCCTCAGTCTCCTTTTCTCCAAGCTAAAGAGACCCAGCTCCCTCAGCCTTTCCTCATAAGGGAGATGTTCCACTCCCCTAATCATCTTCGTAGCTCTGCGCTGGACTCTCTCGAGCAGTTCCCTGTCCTTTTTGAACTGAGGGGCCCAGAACTGGACACAATACTCCAGATGTGGCCTCACCAATGCAGAATAGAGGGGGAGGAGAACCTCTCTTGACCTACTAACCACACCCTTTCTAATACACCCCAGGATGCCATTGGCCTTCTTGGCCACAAGGGCACATTGCTGGCTCATGGTCATCCTCCTGTCTACCAGGACCCCCAGGTCTCTTTCACCTACACTACTCTCCAGCAGTTCAGCCCCCAACCTGTACTGGGACATGGTGTTGTTCTTCCCCAAATGTAAAACTCTGCACTTCCCCTTGTTGAATTTCATCATGTTTCTCCCCGCCCAACTCTCCAACCTATCTAAGTCTCTCTGAATGGCAGCACAGCCTTCTGGTGTGTCAGCCACTCCTCCCAGCTTAGTGTCATCAGCAAACTTGCTGAGGGTACATTCTATACCCTCATCCAGGTCGTTGATGAAGATGTTGAACAACACCGGTCCCAGCACCGACCCTTGTGGGACTCCACTAGTAACACACCTCCAACCAGATTCTACCCCATTGACTACAACTCTCTGACTCCTTCCTTTCAACCAGTTCCTAATCCACCTCACTTCCTGGTCACCAAACCCATACCTGATCAACTTATCCACAAGGATGCTGTGGGAGCATATATTTGATCACCTTAGAAACAGATGTATTTCTGCAAAAAAAAGGTAGTTTGAATGCATCCCCATATGTCTGCTTACTCCTGACACTACACAATAGATGCACATATGTAGGTATGTCCACTGCACACTGTTTAAAAAGCTTTGGATTATGTTTAAAGATCTTCTGGGTTATTTTATCTCACTACTGTTTCCTTTGCTTCGCTAATGAACTGAATGAAATGAACTGAAACAAGGCACTATGAAGATTTCAAAACTCCACAGTGTTAATGTAGAGCAAATGACACCAATAAAAAGTGACATACAAAAAGAAAATGTACAAAAAAATAGGCAAGCTACTGTGGCAAACCGCTACTGATGCTGTCAAATGCTTGCTGCACTGGCATAAGAGGTTATTTCATCCAGCAGCCCACAATGTTTACTGCTCCCACAACAAAGTCAGTGGAAATACAGCTGTGGCCAGAACCTCAGCCATTTCACCAAGGACCCAGGAAAGTAGAATAATACAACAATCAACATAAAAGTCACAGCAGTTTATGCCACCTGATGTACTTACTCATGGGCATGTATTCCCTCTTTGAGTTTCCATCATCACAGAAGATGAAGCTTCATGTGGGGTGGGCAATTCTTAACCTGCTGCAGGAAAACTCATGAGGCCTTCTCTTTTTTTTGCCCTTTTCATATAAATGGCTACATTTTTTTTATTTTTATTTTTCTCACAGGCCATATTATGGTTCCTGTAACAACTGTAATGAATACACCTTCATTTCCAGCACAAGACAGAGGCACATCTTCCATGGTGATTTCCCAACGTGCTGTGGACTTGCTTCCACATCATCCCCATTTACTCCCAAACAGCAGGAGGTGAGGCACACGCAAGCTTGGAGGTGCATACAGCACTCCTCCCAGACTGTCCTCTTTTGGCAGGCACCCAGTAAGGGATCCCATCCTTCCAAGCAACCAGGCTACATAACGTGGCAAGGCACAAAGGCACAATACACCAGTGAAATGAAAATGTGCTCACCCAGAAATTGAAAAAAACCTGTGAACAACTGGCACCTAACTGAAATAGTTTTGTTCTAAAACCCAACCAGTGGTAAAAGCTAGAAATCTCACTTCACCTAGTATCATGTGCTGCCTATAACCCCGCTCCTCAGCTCAACAGAAATGAAATTATCTTCCTGCCTGTCTTACTTCTGGACAATGCTTAAGTTAATAATGAAGGAAAGCTTTTTCTATGACAAAGCTAACTCTCACAGCCACATGATCTTACCAAAACTCATCACACTATATCTCAATTGTCCTATTTCAGACAAGGGCTGGGAAGGCACAGAATATGTTCTTCATACAACCAGCAGCACAATACGAGATCCCTGCATTATCCTCTGTATCAACTGGCTGGTTTCACTACAGTAGCTATTCTATTTAGGATTGTCACCTCTACAGCTTAAATTTGAATGACAGATTTGTGACTTGGTAAAAAGAGATAATTGCTAGGAGAAATTAACAAGCATGGTAAAGTCTGTATTTAATAAAAGTGTCTTTTCCAGTTTCTCAGCTGGACAACATTGTGACATGAGCACTTGGGTTTTTGTTTTCAAAGGGCGTGCAAGACATCACATGGGAAATTACAGTGTATCAGCCCTTGAAATTCAAAGCTTCAGACACAAGATGGTGCAAAACAAAGATGTAAACAAGCTTTAGAAGCCCAGAGCAGCTCTGGCCTGCTATTAGGTGCTCGATTTCCTGGAAGCACTAATGAGCTGAAGGCAGCTGGCCAAGTATGCCCCACTTTGACGTCAAAAGTGATCAGAGCAGATCACTGAAATCTGGATATGATTCCAGAGTGCAAGCCAGCCTAAAGCTGAAGGTGCCTCATACCTTCATCTTCCCTTTGCCAGCACTGCTGTGTATCTGAGCCCATGAGAAGACAAGTCACAGATTTAAGCCAACTGACAATCCGTATTTGAGGAAGGGGTTAGCATAAATAAGGTAAGCTGAGGACAAACCAATAAAGGAATTAAATGCATATATGTTTATGTATGCACAAAACTCTACGGGTAAAGGCAATCAACGCCACTAAAACGTTTGGTAATTTTTACTTGTTTGTTTTTTTTTAAAATGTTAGCTGCTTTCCTGTTCACTTAACTTTCAGCAATCCAAAACAGCATCTGCTTTAATGACCAATCATGCCCACATTACATAAACACTGAAGATCAGGCTTAGTCCCTTGGTGGGTTCCAGAAACACTGCTGTGGTTTAACCCCAGCAGGCTGCTCAGCTCCCCACAGTCACTTGACCACTGTCCCATGGTGGGATGGGGGAGAGAATAAGAAGGGCAAAAGTGAAAAAATTCACAGGCTGAGGTAAAGACAGTTTGATGTATAAAGTAAAAGCCATGCAAGCAGGCAAAACAAAGTAAGGAATTCCTTCCTTACTTCCAGTGGTTACTTAGGAAGACAAATGCCATCACGCTCAATGTGACATTCCCCTATTCCCCCACTTTCTCCTTCTTCCCCCAAGCTTTTATTGCTAAGTATGATGTCATATGATCTGGGATATCCCTTTAGTCAGTTGGAGTCAGCTGAGTCCTCTCCAAATTTCTTGTGCACCCCCAGCCTGCTCACTGGCAAGGCAGCATGAGAAACAAAAAAGGTTTTGACACCATATAAGCACTTACCAGCAATATCTGAAACATCCATGTCTTATCAACACTGTTTTGGTCATGAATCCAAAACATAGCACCATAAAATCTCCTACGAAGACAGTTAATTCTATCCTAGCAAAACCCAGTACAAACACAAAATAAAAATTTAGAAGACAGGTATCTTTGAGAAAGAGCAATAGTTGTATGTTGTTCAGTTAAGACAACTAGCATACCTGAACACTAAGGACACATAAAAACACAAATCAATTAATTTTTTCCTTCTGGTCAGCCCTTCAGATTTGCAAGCATTTCAGTCACCTTAAAAAATTAAAAAGAAATCAGCCTGTGCTGGCAGTTTCCTGTAAGGGTGGAGGTGAGAGAGGAACACACCTCACTTACTGTTCTTGAATAAACTTACACATACCACATTCAGCAACAAGAAGGTTAAATGCCTTTGTCTTCACCATCAAGACATCACTAGAATCCACATCATTTACACCAAAGGTTCAGTGGAGAAGACCCTATGCTTGATAGGGTTGGCCCAACCTACAGCACACCACAAGAATTTATCTTCTTCTGTTTCAGATGCTAAACCTATGACAAGGCAAAAAGAACAATCCATCCACACGGGAAAACAACTTTTAACTGGTATCTCTGTAAAATGGATCCCAGTTTATAATTGTCTTCAGATACAGAAATTCAATTCTTTAAGACTCAGAATACCTGCAGTTGGAGAGTTTGCATGGTGAGACTTTTTGGGCAGGTTGAAGATCTGTTCGCCAGGATCTGGTGGGGGAAGAGCATCTTGACCTTGTCGAGCTTCCACAGGATCATACTCCTTCCCATCATAGTTAGCATCAAAGAACTTCTTAAACCATTGAATGAAATCCAAGTTATCTTGGAAGCGCCCTTTGACCAGTTTTTCCACGGGAATTACCTGAAAGTTAGAATAAAGGTTTCCGATAATAAATATATCACTGCCATTTCTAAACATAAAAATTAGGTATACATATGTATTTGGGAAAAATCTACTAACTATATCAGCTTATATTCCTCTGCCATTTTTTTTCTTCCTAAAAATAAAGGAAATTATGGTGGATTTGGAAGTGCTCTTAGTAAAAAATAGAACAAAAATAAAACAAAGACCTGGCCTTTGATGTGGCTATTCAGTGGGTGTATGTAAGCCTTTGTAACTCCTCTTCCACTGAGGTACTCCTTCCTTACTGTGGTGACAGCCATGATGAATGTAGCTGTTCTGGGAGTAACACTATATTCAGCTAACTAGGGATTTCTGTTTTTAATGGACATGCTACAGTTGAGCATACTAAAAATGAACTATTCTTCAAAAGGTCCAGACGGGAGTTTCTTGCTCTCTGTCCTACTGTTTGAACTCCAAGAAACCCAGCAGCTTTTCCAAGACATGCTGAAGTTCAAACCAACATATTTTGGCAGTACATGTTCATCATATGAACTTACCCCAAGGTTTTAACCTTGTAATTTTTTTCCATTCCATATATAGCTATACCCAGGATAGTTTGTGGACATGCAGAAGTTGACTAAAATACCTATAAACTTTGAGTAAAACAAAATAAATGCTATGAGGATGTCTCCATATCCTGCAAACGTTTCACAGAAATGAAACCTCCAAAAGGTGTCTTGGGCCAGTCCTACAGTGCTCAAGCTTCCCAACCACTGCAGGCAGACTACAGGGACTACAGCTACAGAAGGAGGGTTGCTCTGCCTTGCTTAACTAATGCAGCTGATTAAAGAGCAAAGTTAAATAGAACTTAATGCCTCCTGAATGCATTCAATTTTCAGCTGGAAAAAGAGTACCTAAAATAGTTGCAATTTTCATTTCTTCTTCAAGGTTAAACCAACTGGACATCAAATTATAAGAATAGGATATTCCTAAAAGGATTAATGGAGGATTTTGCACGTCCTTTCAGGTTGTTTCAATTTTATCTTAATTCTGCAATGAGGAAATATAGCAAGTTTGCTCCCTACAAAAAAATTGACAATGTAAACTTTATTAGGCTTTCCAATGTTCTCAAGTAAGTCACACTGTAAATAAAAGCTTCTCCAACATTTCAGGAGATAATGAGGGTTTTCCAGTGCTTTATAGAATTCTTAAGGGACTCTCTATTAAGACTTTAAATTTCAGAATAAGGCAACACTAGAAGCCAGAGCAGAACCTTAAATGGGTATACAGGTAGTGCATCTGTGTAAAACTGGAAGCATGACAGCATAACTTTCACTATTCATTTTTATCAACATAGTAATTTATACTGGTCAGTCTGTCAAACTCTCACATGGAAGCATAAACCAATAATTTATGGTTGAACAAGCCATTTTCTAAGAGACTTTAATTCTTAACTTCACAAGAACGTACGTGCTGTTCAACCTATCGAATCACTGGGTAAGTTATTCCAGCTCTTGAATACTTTAAATACCTTAAATCCCATTTTGGACAAGAAACATGGAATACTTGCAAGAACAGCATATTCCCAAGTTATTTTGTTGGAAATTCAGGTCACCAGTAATTTTACCTATCTAAAATTAAGGTTCACTGAAGGTAAGGAATTTCCAACACATGGTATTTTATCAAAAGGATCTCTGATATTAAGATACAACAAATTGGGCTGCACAATTCTTCAGCAGACACATGGACTCAATTTTCACTTTGTACCTAAACAGAGCATGCCAAATTTCTTCCTTCATGCCTAGATACTCTTGAGATGATGAAAGGCCAAGAAGGACATCTTCACATACAATTTGTAACTCCAGTTCTTAGTCGAAAAGTTGAAAAAAGGGACTTAAGTATTTTGAAGAATTTTCTTTCTCTTACTTATTGATTTTACCCAGTTTGTAAAACTTTTAAAACTTGAAGTGATTGAAATACAAATACAGAATGCCTACCTTATCCACATTCATTCTTTTAAACGATGCCTGCAGAAGTTTGAAGTTGTGAATGTATTCATGCTCCAGCTTTGCTTGAAACTTTACTTTCTTCAAACTAATGCACCCTGGGAACAACATGTCCATGAACTGGCAGTAAGCTGCTCCTATAACAAGAGAATGCACTGACATTAATCCAGATGCACCCAGCTAAGACCAAATGGTGTTTAATGTCATTAGAAGAAAGCATGAGCAGAAAGCTATCATGCTGAATATGTCCCTGCTGTAATTCCCCCTAACACTATGCACCCAAGACCTACTTGTCTAATGTACATTGAATGTGGCATACTAATGTGTTTTTTTTTTCCATTCAATCTTATTGCACAACACACTATTGTGTGGTATCTAATGAACCACCAGGACTAATGCAAATAGAACTTTTTGTATTTAAAATTGATGTTCTTGAAGTCTGTACAGACAGTAGGACTGTCCATACAGTCAAACTGGAAATCTCTTAACAAGCTCCCTCAATCCTCACAGCCCCCTGAATTCAATCAAGCCAAGATCACCTTTATTCTGGCACTTGTAGCTGAATGCTAATCAAGTCCAAATAATTCAAGATTATATCTAACCATGATTTAAAAAAAAAATAATAATAATTGTAAAGCTCCAGTTTTTTACAATACACTAGCCAGTTCCCACCCTACTAAAACAAACATCCTTACTGAGTTTCATCTCCTGAGAAAAGCATTTAAATAAGCAGACTTTCACTTAGTCCAACCCATAGATTTCAAAAGCTGGGCTGCCTGCTGCAGTTCTCAGTAAAAAAATAAAAAATTTAAAAAAAAAAAAATCAACTTTGGGGGCTATTTGAACTTATATAATAATAGGTAGGGGTGTGTGTGCCTGAGTGGGTGGTAAAACTAATCCAGCACAGAGTGGCAAGTATATGGAAACACTTCTGAACAGTATATGGAGTGTAGCTACTAGAGAAAGCCTTTTCTGGTATGCAGGGAACTTCCTCCTACAACATAATCATGTCACTGTCATTTGCAAAATAAATGTTTACTGTTGACACACTCAACATTAAGCATGAAAATGTTTCTGGAAATCTGAGGAAAGCCAATTTCAGTTCTTCTTCAAGAGAAAAAGCATTCTTTCTGCAGAATGCTTTATACTCAGCAAGGTTCAGTGACACCCATTTCTGGAGCAGGGAGGGCTGTGGAGCATCCAGTCCCTGTGCTGCAGCAGACAAGGCAGGGAAGTGATCGCCTGATTACTCCTGACAACTTTGATTTCACTTCCACAAAAAGGACCTTTGTGCATTTAGTGCAGACCAGTTTGGACAAGTAAGTGTCCAGATCTCACCTCACAGTTCAGCCCAGTATCAACACCACCACTTTCTATCAAAAAATAACTCTGCTGAGTGCTCAGACAAACCAAATTAACAAAGCGGACACCTGGCTTGCCCGGTTTTACAGGAGAGGCAACAATAACTTGAAGACATTTCTCTCCGTGGCTATACATGTGTTTTGACAGGACCAACTTTATGCATGAGACAATTCTCATTCTCTGTATCCACTCAACCATCATATGAAGGCTTACAGAGCTCAGAAATTCCCAAAAAGAGAAGCAGAGTTTAAGAATGAAGTACAAAAATTTTCCCAAAATACTGATAGGAGTTTTGTTAAGGAAGGGACTTACCAAGGTCAAGCCTTAGTGCTAAAAAAACCCACTGATATTAAAAAAATAAAAATAAAAAAATAAATTATCTTTCCTACCTTTGTGGGGGAAAACTGCTATTAAAAAATCTGATTTTCCAGGGAGACCTCGTGGTGAGCAGTTTGCAATGGTTTAAATATGATTATGACTCAAAGTAAAGTATTGCCTAAAGGAAAAGGAGCCTTCCGGCAAGTTACAAACATCAGATGACAAATTTGCATCTTCTTACAGAAAGCTGTATCAACACAATTAGTTATTCAAAACTCATCCTTAGCCACAGGACTGGTAAATACGTGGCAACAGAAAAATGACATCACAATTAAAAGCATGGATATACAGATAATGAATGGCTTCACTACATTTATTACTATTTAACTTCATGCAAAAGGATTATTATGCAATCATTTCATGTTGTAAATTGAATTTGTTCCCAACTCTGTCCTTTCATCCTCCTCATATCCCAATTACAAGCTTTACTCTTGATATCTAAGTAATTGCCTGGAGGCCTTGAAAATGCACTGTGCAACCTTTCATCTAGATCCTTTTAGAAAACTAGAAACCCAAAGTGTTCACATGAGATTTTCTCCTTCTGCTGGTAATGCAAATTCCTTCTGCGTGCCTTTAGATAGAGTCTTACTGGGCTTAAGACTCCAGTTACGGTATTTCCTTGTGTTTTCTTCCCATCATGCTGGCAGTTGTTTCTGTGCTTCTGCCAACCAGGAGGTGGTCCTGTGTTTGCACAGCACCAGAGGGCAGAAAACACTGGACTGCATCCACATGACAGCACGAACCTGGTCTCTGACACAACACCGAAGCTGGCTGCTGGGCTGCTTCCCCAACAGGAGGATTTTATTACACTAGCAAATACAACTCATTAAAACCCTGCCTCCTGAAGTACAGCGGCGACACACAAACACAGACTGAACTAAATACAATAAACTGCAGAGCGGAAACTCTTCCAGCCTCCAAGAAAGCAGAGACCTGCCTATCACATCAAAAAGAGAAAGTAAAAATATCAGTCATCTGGGACTACCTGATTTTGGACATGGAGGTTATGTACGTATTTAATATTGTATAGGTACTTCTTTATACTTTTAAGTGTTATCCCCTAAAGCTTGTAGCTTTCACATTGCATTTGAATGCTAAATGTCGGTGCAGCAGAATGGGGAAGGTACTTTCTGCACTGCCCATGGCTGAGATTTCCTGGACACAGCCAGAAGAAGCAGCCCTACTTTAAGTGCTGCAAGATTACAATGCCTTTACCTCACATGCACAGCGTAGAGACGTGTGGTCCTCTGCATACCAGACAGCACTTTAGACCTATTCAATTTACTATACAACTGATCCTTCAACCTGGATGCATCAGAAAGGAACATTTTTAAGTTAATCTAAAGATTAAATAATGAAAGATTAAATAAGTAGAAATAATGATGTCATGGCTTGTGTCACACCTTTTGCATATTTTACATGACGAAAAGGATTATCATGCCACTATATTTTATTGAAGGATTAAAAAATTCCATACATTTTCAGCAAAGCTGAAAACCTCCCCTCCCCAAAAAACCCCCCAACAAAAAAACCAGAAAAACAAACAACTATACAGAGGAATTGAAAACATACTACCTGCCCAGAATGGCTCTTACTACAGCTGTAGCACTGCAGAAGAGGGATCAATGTTAAAAACCTCTCATCCTGTATTAGCTAACAAGCAATTTAGAACCACTGGCTAGAAACCCTTTTGTGTTTTTGATCTAAAATATTGATGCAGCCATTAGTTCCAGAAGATACTCACAGGTCAGGTTCCAAAAGCAACCTGTAAACACAGCTGTGCTGATTACAGCCCCAGCAGTCACTACGTTTGGCCCAATTAGTGGGCAGGAAGAGTCCAGTAGCATCATGGAGTTTGGGGTCCCTGTGCCAGGCTCAGGGGAGGCAGTTGCCAGAGGAGGGGAAGCGATGCTGGGGCAGAATGAAGACACAAAGGAAGAAACAGAGAATGGAAGACATCCTTGTTTAAAGCTATTACAAATGAAGGGGCTTGCCACATGCAGTGGTAAAGCTGGAAGCTTCTACCAAATCTATAAAATTACAACATTTTTACAGCATTTTCAGAGTTGTAGATAAACTTATACTAGTTCCCACTGCAGTAAGAAATACTGAACTCGTTCCAGCTTTCATCCTATACTTTTCTTTCCCTGCTTCTGTGTTCCCTTCCAAGACTGTCCCTACTGACTTACAGTTTGCTCTGAAGCACATGCACTCTGCACCATTAGATTTTCAGTTTGCTTTTTTTCCTGTTCCATCTGGAGGCTGAGTCCACAAATGCTAAGAAGTACTTTCTTGATAAACAAAAATACTTCTGCATCTGACTATTTAAAGAGCAAGAAAATTAAAGGAGGTAACAACAAAGACAAGAGAGTCCTGTTTACTATAAGTTTTTACTGCTCAGTAAACCTCCTAGATTTCAGCTGGAGAGCAAGATTAGATCCTTGGGGTTTTGAAGCATTTTTGTTTATAAACATATAAAGGAAAAGGAAAATAATATTTGCAAACGAACGTCTTTAAATATACTATGGTTAGTATACTAATAAAGTATTTAGTAGCAATGTAAGCTCTGGTATTGCCAAGTTAGTATTTGTCCCCTATAGTAGGAATCAGGTCAATCCTTCACATCAAATGTCAGAAGACTCTGTCCCTCTCTGCTCACCCCTGCATCCCTGCAGTGTGTGGGAGCAAGATCCTAGAAAGTCACATAAAACCACACCAGACAACATGGGAACACAAAAAGGCTCATGCAAAAATAGGGCCTGTCTATGTGGGGAGCTGTTTTATTTTAATTCTGCTGTCCAAGCCACAGCAAAAGGAGCTAAGCACTAGACTAGAAATTTGGCATAAATGCTCAGTAAGGTTTTTGTTCTAAAACAGCAAACAACTCAATTTTAAACCTTTTAACCAGGCCTCAGTTTGATTTTCACATATTCAATTTTTGAAAAATCCCATTTGGGAAAAAGGCTGACTGTTACTTTCTTCTGTAATTACAATTTTTTGTTTGCTTGCTTGCTTTAAGGAAATGTTTTTCACATATTCTAAAAACATACATCCAGTCACATTACTTACAAATTCTTTCAAATTATTCATTCCCTCCAAAGCTGCAACAACCTGACCACACATTTGGAAAATATGGGATGATTTGTATGCAGATTAATCATCAGTACTTCAGTTCATAAGAGCAATGGTTGCTAACACAGATGGGAAACTGCACACACCCGGGATTTTTGTTGCTGGGACAACAAAAACAACAAAAAAAGAGGAGCATGCAATGAGCATGTGAGTTTTGATAAGAAAGGGGAAAAAACCCACAACAGCCAACTAGCAGTTTACAGTACAGCAGCACCTGGGGCCTGCCTTTTACCTCGGGTAACCTGATGATCTTTAAGGTCTCTTC